TGGCTTTTGACATCTTCTAATGCCAGAGGGGGCTGATGCTGTCAGAGCCTGCAAGAATCTAGAGGAAAATCAGAATTCCTTCTCAGGAGGCCAGAGGACAAAGGCAGGGTCAAGAAGTCACAGAACACACAGTGGAGAATTTTTCTGAGGCACAGTCCAGGCAAGTACCAGTGAAAGGGACCCTGCAAGGCAGACCAAAATGTTTCTGAAAGGTTCCTGCAGTTTCTAGGCTGACCACACAGAGCAGTGAGCACAGCTGGATTTGAACTCCAGTGATTACCGCTTTTCTTTTTGTAAATTTCCTGTTGCCAAAGGAGCCTCTGGCAAAGAAAATGTTTCTCCAGAAGGAATATATACTGCAGTTGGCTTTCTGACAGCAAATTTCTACAGATCTTACTGAAAGAAACTCACTTTAATTTGACTGCCTAGAGCTACTCACTGAGATCTTCCTCCTTTTCTCGTGCCCTGAACTGACATTAGTAAATGGCCTCAAAATCCTGTGCAACTGCAGATACTTCCCCATACTCAAGTAACTTCTGCACAAGAAAAAAAAATAATCCTACTTGCTGTTGAAAAATCCACATGTACACATATAAATAAACATGTACATCTTGTAAAGAACGTCCGTTTCCATATATTTTTATTACACCACTGCTTTTTGTACTCAAAAGTGTAAGATATTGTTTATTTAATGCCATGGTTGCATAGAATCATAGAATCAAGGTTGGAAAAGACCTTTAAGATCATCAAGTCCAACCTTTACCCCAGGGCTGCCAAGCCCACCACTAACTATGTCACCGAGGGCCTCATCTACAGTTTTGAACCATTAGAAAAGTGCACTGGGGGTGTTCTTTTTTGCCATTCATGCTATTTTTTGTTTAGATATTTAAAAGATAAAAAGAAATCAAATTGTTATGAAAACTAAAAGAGTTTTCCTGTGGCCCAGTTTTATAAAGCTAGACATGAAAATATAATCAGAAAAATGTATCCATTACATTACAAGCTGAAGAAATCTGGTTAGTTAGAGAGCTAGCTATTTTGCTACAAAAAAGTAAAAACCAGTATGTAGTTATTAATGTACATGTTTTTGGCCATGAACTGGTGTAGCTTGATCTTGTTTGTGAAAATACAGATTTGAAACAGACATATTTTGGGCAGAATGCTATCCTGTTTTGTTGGGACTTGGTTTTTTTCTTACTCCAATGGCTGATTAATTCCTGATTGCTTTTTTCCATCTGTGTGTGTGTCTTTCTGTGCATTTTTGTTTTGGTTTTTTGAATGGAAAAAAGAAACAGCCAAAACCCTAAGCAGAGTTACAGCATCCAGTTGGACTCAAATACGTAGCTAAAAGTTTTAGAAAGGTTTTTGTTTGTTTGTTCGTTTGTTTTTTCACAATGCTGTAATGAAGGGGAAAAAGCTGCAAGGAGAAGCAGCTGCAGCTCAGAGAACCAAAGAGCATAAAATACGTTTTTGCTGTTACTGTTTTGATTTCATGTGAGGATAATAATAGGTCATACCTAGATGAGATTGAAACATGGTCCAGGGGACAGGAAGACATTTAATTAGTGAAAAAAAGGCCTCTAGCAGGTTAATTGACATGCAGGTCTCTTTTCTAAAAGCCTGTTTGGACCCTGTTATTCTCAGGACAGCCTTTGGACAGAGCCTGGCTTGTTCAGATTGCAATAGGTTAATAACAACACTGCGAAAGACTAGCACTTTGCTGAAGTATGAATTATGCATTAGCTGAAAGAGGGGATTGTTTCATCCCACTAAAATGAACTCTGTGTGGCAGAGCATTATCACTTCACTCTACTGAAAGTAAACATTTCGGCATTCACAGGGTTAGCTGTCAGCTGTGGATAGTGGGAAGAGGGGAGAAAAGCCAGAGCCCAGCAGCAGCTCTGGATGGGAGTACATTTCAGCTCTTCATTACAGTGATGGGCAGCTTGGGTCTGCTGTGTTGGATGACCCAGGCTGCAGATACCACCAGGCCTCTCGTGCTCAGCTGAGCAAAGGTTGCCAGGCTGCTCCTGCGCTTGTGTTTTTGAAGTAGTTCTGCAGGAAGCTTGGAGACATAAATAGCAAAGCTGTAGGTTTATGAACCTACACAAGATAAACATATCAGAGTGTGGGAGGGCAGATAAGAGTCTTCTGAAAGTCATCTCCACTGGTCGTCAGTTAATGAGCAACGTTTTTTTCACTCCTGTTTGCTCCCACACCAAAACTCATACACAGAAAGGCTTTGGAGAGTTTCCTTTCCTTATGCACAAAATAGAGAGCGGTGGGGGAATTAGGTGCCAAATTAGCTATTAAATGCATTTATGTCTTTGTAGGTCTATTCCAAGGCTAAATTCTACATATGCTTCTCCAACTTGCCTTAAACTTTTAGTGGCATGAAAATCAGATACATGCACATCAGAATCCAGAGGACTTCCTGCCAGATAGGTTTCTTAAGGTGAGCTACATCTTAGTTTCCATACACATTGGTCCAAGCAGTGATGCAGCTTTAAGAGAAAGCTAATTTGCACATTGGGGTTCCTTCCTTCTTGCCGTAGCAGCTGCTTTGTTCAAGCCATAGCTTTTCTTCTATGGATCATCTTCCCAGCGTCTCAGCCTGATCCTTCTGTCCGTGTGCAAGGATAGTATCAGGAGCCGCAATTCACCTGCGGCCATTGCCCTTACATGTGAGATAAGCATGTCCTGATGAGAGATTCCCAGGCAGCAGGGCTCTGGAGCAACATTGGTGAGATGGCTGGTTTCTTGGGAATAAGCTGGGAAGTTACAGTGGCACAGGCAGAGTCCTTCCACCGACTTTGACTTTGTGAGCTTTGGCTCTGGCCCACAGAGACATATTTGTGCAGTGGTGTGAAAGCATCTTGGTTCCATATCTGATGGGAGCGCCTGACAGCTTAATTATGCTGTGATAGGAGCAAAGCTCCTATAAACAAAATGTTTTGTCCTATGAATTGTGATTGTGACAAAAATACTTTTTATGACCAAATTAGTTTCGTGAGGCAGAAATAAATTAAGCTCTTTCTAGTTTTCACACCTATCAAAATTAGAAAGCTAAAGACAGTCTATCTGAGCTACAGTAAGCTCAGTAAGACAAGATTATCCTTCCTTCCTGAAATATGCTTTAAATCTTGACAGCAGTTTCAGTAGGACAAGTAATTTCTCTCTCTGTATCAGTATGACCCCCTGGGAAACAGTGGGAGGTACATCATATGCCAATTGAAAGTGGAATACTAAAAATATCTATAAATACAAGGCACTACAACCTTCCTTCTTGTTTAACACAAGGACCAGCTCTGAGGATTCCTTTTCACATTTTGTTTTTTCTATTGCCATCGCTTTAGTCATTGTCTCAATCTTTTAGTAAGTATGAAATGGGGAGGATGCCTCGGCATTTTGGGTATACTGAGATATCACAAGGCTGTACACCCAGTGTGATGAACATGCTGTTAGTGCCAGCAGTGCTGCAGCCCTTGAAACATGTATTCAGTCACTCCCCAACATTTCGGGGATTGTTGTAGTTAGGGGAGACAGCAAAACTCTCATTGCTCTTTTGCTGTTTTCTTTCAAAACAGGGAAAAACCTGTGCATAAACACTTAGAAGGGGATGAAGTCAGGATGTGGTGCTGTGCAGTATACATTTCTTCAGCTCTGCCTAGCAGAAGGCACCTGTGGTGAGCATGTGGGCAGAACTGTTCATAGATGTGCCAGGTTCTCAGCTTCTCCAGTGGTGAAATGGGGACCAGCTTGACACAGCCTCACCACTCTTGAGTGATATTTTATTACTATAATTTAGCACAGGCGAGCAAAATGAGGTTTTACATTGGTACCTAATACCTGATGCATCCAGTGGGAGTCGCACACCTCTCTAGCATGGATGGCCTCCTACATGCTTACAAGAGCTTTCATGAACTGTTCAAACTGGCTCACTGAATAAATATACACTTCCCTTAAATAAATATACCCTTGTCTCCCACTTAAAGCCCCTAGAGCATTAACACTTTTATATGAGCATTTAGAGCGGAAACAGCACTAGCCCTATAATTGTCCACATCAAAATCTGTTTATTTAGAGAAGCTGATTATTATTCAGCTGGAGTTACTAACAGTGATGTAGCAGAGAATTGCCATAGTATTTGTGCTGTTGAATTAAGAGTCAAAGAGCAGCCATCACCAGCATTATTGTCTATTGCCGTTCCAAGGCTGGCTCATTTATAGGCATTGTAACTAAAGAACCAGAGTTCTCATTTTATTTTCCACTAAGTGAACCTGCAGGGAAAAGCACCTCTTCCAGTGCCTGAGAAAGCTACGGCAGGGCATCATGGTCATTAGTTGTTATAGGTGAGGAAATTTAAAATGCTTACCTCTCCCGACCCTCCCCCTGTTCTTGAGGTACTTTTTCTTTTAGAAAGACCTACATTTATCAGTACTTTATATGAGCTTTTGACTACAGGGCTAATGTGTTAATAAATGTTCACTGGAATATAAAAAATATTCTATGTTCTGTGAATATTAGATTACTCCAAGCATATAACAAAAAATGCTGTAGGTGTTTATGAGCCATTTTTAAGCAATTTATTGATCAGGAAGGGAGGGAGAGATCACCCATTTATTAAAATCCATGAATCCTGTACTAATTCTTTCTAAAGGGTGTTAAAGGCTTGATTAGAAATTACGTGGGAGTCACTGGCCTTTCAGCAGTGTGCTGTCTGGCCAACAGCTGATATCATCACACCAAATTTCGGCACCCTCGGATACTCACGAGTGTTGTTGACCTGTCCTGCAGCCAGACACGTAGCTAGTAGCTCTGGGTTTAGTTATCCATTTCAGCTGCTCTCAGCAGCCATGATTTTACTTTTGTACCTCACAATTCATACCGATTTCACATGACGCTTTCCTTAAGAACTGCCACTCTGTTTCTTTGGTTCACTCCCTGGCTAAATCTTTTTATCCCCCCTTTTCTGTGTTTCCTGCTCCTCTTCTCCCCAGGGTGAATGCTCACGGAAGTGCTATGACATCTTTGTGCTGGAGACGGTGTGCGTGGCGTGGTTTTCATTTGAGTTCCTGCTGCGATCCATCCAGGCAGAGAACAAGTGTGCTTTTCTGAAAACCCCACTCAACATCATCGACATCCTGGCCATCTTGCCTTTCTATATCTCTCTCATTGTGGATACGGCCTCCACGAAAAACAGCAGCAAGCCCGGTGGGGGTGCTGGAAACAAGTACCTGGAACGAGTGGGCCTGGTGCTGCGCTTCCTGCGGGCTCTGCGCATCCTGTACGTGATGAGGTTGGCACGGCACTCGCTGGGGCTGCAGACGCTGGGACTCACTGTGCGCCGGTGCACCAGGGAGTTCGGGCTGCTCCTGCTCTTCCTTTGTGTCGCCATGGCCCTCTTCTCGCCTCTGGTGTACTTGGCTGAGAGCGAACTGGGAGCCAAGCAAGAATTCACAAGCGTCCCCACCAGTTACTGGTGGGCTGTGATCTCCATGACCACAGTTGGCTACGGGGACATGGTACCTCGTAGCATCCCCGGGCAGGTGGTAGCCCTGAGCAGTATCTTGAGTGGGATTTTGCTGATGGCTTTCCCAGTCACGTCCATCTTTCATACCTTTTCCCGTTCATATAGTGAGCTGAAGGAGCAGCAGCAACGAGCAGCAAGCAGGCAGATGCGCCACCCAGAAGAGAGCACCGAACTCCTAGGTGGTAACAGTACACAGGGGCTTGGGGTCACATTCCCACCAGCTGATGCTGGGCAGGAGGGTCAGCCCACAGGGGACCAGGAAGCGAAGAGAAGTTGTTGACTGAACATCTTGAAGATGTATGTTGGCAGCACAAGAAGCAGTGGCCACGGAGGGTCAGTTCTACAAGAAGAACCTTCTGAACTGCATAAATGAGGGCAGACACATACACAAAAGGTTGTCTCTAAAGACCAACTTTTGATCTTAAGGGCCCTCTACAAAGTAGCCCTAGAATCAAAACCAAGTACAGCTCTGCTCCATTGCTTTCCGTAGGCCTTTTCTTTTCTACTGAACAAGTGGTTTCGGCAAGACCCAAGGAGCAGCCATTGAACGTAGCCAGCCAGGAGAACGTCCCATGAAGCAGAGCCTGTGCCAGGCACCATTCAGCAGATCAGCCAGTGTGCCACGTCCTCCCTGCTTGGTGACACTCCACGTGCGAAGGGGTGATGCCTCGTGCAAAGTTGGTTTGTTTTGGCAGCTCCGCCAAGGAGCACAAACCTCAGACAAGCCAAGGTGTGAGGCCAGGGAAGGGCAGAAACATCCTTTCAGCTTTCCCAGGGGCTTGGTTTTGTCTGTTTTACGCATCAGGCAGCATAGCCTTGGCCACCAGCTGCCAGCTGTGACTTGTGTGCTAGCACAGTACGCATTATTTAGTAAATATGCTTATTTACCACCCTAAGCTTTGTATCTTACCCTCATTGCAGAAATATACATAGACAATCTTCCAGACTATGGTACTGAATGTTAACTTGGGTTTTTTCCTTTGCTAACAGTTCAATATAACAAATATCTTTACAAATCATACCATTTCTCCACTTTCATTAACTATTTCCATCTCTCGTGTATCAAAATGATGTGTTTAAGAGACAACTAAACCTGAACTACATGCAGCCCAAGAAGGGGAGGGTGGTTGATGTTAAAACAGCAACTCCCAGCGCTGCGTACTCTTCCTCTGTGGTGATGATTGCACTGACTGCAGTCATGTACAAGCAGGAGTAGTCCAAACCCAGTGAAGTGAAAGAGATTCCTTCAGTGAGTTCTGGCCCAAGCTGCAGTGTAGCAGCTGTGCTCTGCGTTAGGAGTAGTCTCTTATTTTTTTCCCCTACTAAGAAAAAGATAATCCTGTCATCTAAAAATTAGAATTATTGTTCTGGCTCTTCTTCCTAATTCTCAAAAGATTTAACTAAATTAAAAGGGAAAACAAATCATATGGTGGCATCAGCATGCTTCTTTACTGATGCCAGCCCCATGAGCTCTCCTGATAGAGCTGTGGAGCTGGTCCAAGTCAGCACACTGTCTGGGTCTTTCAGTGCTCCTACAGGTGGGATATGATCAGAGGATGGAGAGAAATGGAACACGACTGCCTCTTTCACCTATGCTCGCATTTATAATAAAGCCATGCAGTGTCACCCTCCCTAATCTCTTTCTGCCAGGAAGGAAACAAAAGCTGATGTATTGAAATGGGATTTGTGTGTTTGGTTTTTTTTCCTTAGCATATGTTGTAATATCAATCCTACATTAGCAAACTCCTGTATTAAGCCATTCCTTATAGGAATGGGGCAAGGGAAAATAAAAGGTTACATTTATTTTAATAAAAATTAGAAGCTTTGCTGCTGAATGTGCACCTCTGATGATTTGGTTGCGGAGCGGGGGAGGTGGTGTTTTGCCTGCTGATGTGAAGCCATGTATGCCAGTGCCCCAGCCAGGGTCCCATGCAACCAGCTTGCTCTGGCCTGTGGCAGCCCTGACATTGCTCCTTTGCAGCCACCGCCAGGCCAGACAGCCCGAGCAGCACAAGGGTATCACTGGGCCAGGTTATACAGCTCCAGGGTAAGTGCTGCAAGAGATGGAAGCAGCAAAACTGAGCCCCCTATCCTGCAGGCTACATCTGCATCTCCAAAGCCCCAGCTGTGTTGAATGACAAGCAAACTGAATGCAGCTGCATGCATCAGGGCTCTGCTCATCCATTGTTCACAGCCCACCAGCCCTGGGAGCACATTTGCTCCTTGTGACAGACAAGGAGGGCCAAGGGCTGGTGGATGGTGCCTGGGCTGACTCAGACTCTTGGCAAAGCAGTACCAGGACTGGGTTGCTGTGACTCATGGGCGATTTTAACTTTATTATTCTTTTAATCCTGATACAGGCACTTCTTATATTAAGGCTTATTAAGGTTTGGCATCAGGGATACAGCTTTGCAGTTGGCTAAATGCAAACCAGCAAAGTGAGCAGTGTGTGGGGGCAAAGTATGCCATGGTGCTGAGGAGCAGCAGCACACTTTATGGTGGCATTTGTGTGCTCAGTCTTCAGGGGCGACCCAACAGATTTGCTAGGTGAACCAAGAAGTTCACCTTTCACAGTACTTTGGTTCATGCACATTAAGTTTAGTGCTTCATCTCTGGTGTAAAAACAGCGATCATGGCTACTGAGCATGGAGGGTGCAAAACACATTTCCTCAAAGTGGTGAGGTCCATGAATGGCCAACAGCATTGGCTTTCTCTTAGAAGATCCATGTTGGAGTAGATATCCTTGTAGAATGAAGAGTTTCATGCCTGCCGTGCTAGCAAATAACCATGAATGAATGCAGCTTTTGGCCCTGCAGCAGAAAAAACCAGCACCAGGACAGCTAACTGCAGCTCAGCAGCTGTGTAGAAAAACAGACTGATGACACACACCACTTTACTGCTGTGCTCCATCAAGTTGCTATTGTACAATACTGAATTCTTTATATTTTTTTCAAAAGGCACATAATAAATTCCAACACGCAGAGTTTTAATAAAAGTGACAAAACCCACTCATTGTCTGTTAGTCAAGGCCTGGCTTTTAATAAAGTTTCATTTCAGCTATTGAGATGACAGATGAGGAAACAAATATAAACCAGGAACCTTTTAAATGAATTATTTTTGGAAGCTGTATAAAGTTGTGAGGCACACGCTGCCAGACATAAAAGATACCCAAAGGAGAGTGAGTTTCACCCAGTGTAGCTGTTGTTATGGGTGATGCTTATTACTTTTGATCAGCCGCTGAAGAAGTGTTGGTTTTGTTGTTGTTGTTTCCTTTGACACAGCACACACGTGATTTATCTGTAACTATAGTGAATGCTACACTGCTGTCTGCATGCATGCCGGTGCCAGCACGTAATTATACCCGTTTCCTTGAAACACAGTCTAGTGCTTCATGATTGTAGCACACTGGTTTTTACCCAAAGGAAAAAAAATTCCTCTCTCCTATGGGACAGAGACTCACAGTGCATGTGAGCAAAGCTGCCTCTTCTACACTGTCATCTTGGTGGCAGCACACATGGGCTGGACATACAAATTCTGGCAGTTGGCCACAGTAATCACCTGAAAACTTTAGCTGTGTTGGAGAGCTGAGGATGTGGTAACTGGTACAGGGACAGAGTTAGAGGGAATGGCACGAAGTCAAACACAACTCCTGCTCATACAGCACATGTGCACAGCCACCTGCTACCTCACAGCAACCTCAGTTAAGAAAAAGCACATAGAAACACATGACCCTGGTATCATCCCCTCAGCACCAAGCCAGGCAGAGGTCGCTGTCTCACACTGATGAGGGCAGAACAGCCATGGTCTGCATCAGCCTCAAAGCAGATGCGTCATGCAGGCAAAGTATCCTTGCCTTTCACAGGGCCTAAAAGCTACAGCCTTAGAAGAGCATGAAACCTTGGGGCAGAAGAGGAAAAAGGCAGATGGAGGGGCTGATGGGTAGACAAATCCAGCATGGTTCTGCTGGCCCATGTGAGGCTGAACGAAGCCCCTCAGCCTCCCAGCATAGCTAAGCCAGCACCTGCAAAGCCAAAGCCACGTAAATTCGGCCAGAGGGGGCAGGATGGGGGTCTGAAGTCCTAAGTCTTTGCTGACTGTCTTGGCTTGTTTTCATGTCCTGAATCAACAGGCAGAGAGGTCTCCTCTTGGCACAGCAGTTGGCCATGACTTAACAGTTTACTCATCTTCCATGCAGAGGCTATGAAGAGCAGGTCCCTCAATTGTGTCCCATCTCTGATCTTATTTTACAGTTTGCATGATATAGGATTTTTTTTTTGAAAGCTACATAATAATTTGTTAGTAATTTGTTTGACTGTGAGCATCACAAGCATAAAGTTAAGTGGTTACGAAGGTGAGTTTAGCCCAGGATGTATGAAAGAGCAGGGAACAGAAATCCAGAATTCCCTGTCAGGCATCATGACCTCAGGACAATTTATGCCTTGTTCTTACCCACCTATCAGGAGGAAAAAGCACCCTAATTATTCCTACAGAAAATGCTCTAAATACTTTATAAGAAGAGTTAAGAAGCATGTATCTTATAGCTGAACAAAACAAAGCAATACAGCAACTTATATATAATAGGTAATTTTTATTTAAAAAAACCCAAACAAAACAACAAAACATTGTAACTGACAGAGAAAATAACCTCCATTAAATGTGCCATACATTCAAAGAGATGTATTTAAAGTAACTGATTTCTTACTTTCTGAGGTGATCATTGATACAGATACTTCCTGACAATTAAAGAACAAAACCAAAGTTCTGTAACATTTTGTCCCTAAATTATCTTCAAGATGAAGTTCAAGAGTTCCTGGCCAAGAGTCCTACCTTGCTAAATGCCACATCCAGAAGATGAATTCAGACACAGTTCCACTGGCTTCTCTTCCAGCGTTTGTAGCTCTGGTGTCACTGAGACTGGTCTGCAGAGCTCGCTGGTTTGAGTACTGATGACAGACTGAAGAAACTGCCCAGGAAAGAGTCCCAGAAGGAAAAAACAGTTGTCTTATCCTCAGTAATACCTGTAGTTCAAAGCCAAAGAGGTGGCCGAAAGTGTGCACTCCCAGGTGAACCTATAACATACAGAAGTATATTTCCCAAGAACCATTTATTTCTTATATCCCCGTTTCATAGAATATTAGAAAAAGACCACCATATACAAAAATCTTACAATTACAAGTTATTAAAAAAACCCTTCAGACCTTTAAAACACACAAGAAAGTATTTGTTTGCATACAGTAGAAATACAATCCTCATTAAAGCAGCATACCAGAGAAGCCAGTTGTTAAGTAAATTTTCAATTAAAAAAGACAAAAGCCCAGATGTTCCTGTAACACAACCAGAACATTGGAGAAAAGAGAGGAACAAAACATTCATAGTCTGCCATGCCAGGTATATCATCTTCGTAAGGTCACTTCAGGCCTAAAAGAGTATGGTATTGAACAAAGAGCACGGAGTCAGCGCCTGGGCAGAGCATTCTGTGCCCAGCCCTCAGAACAGCAGCTCTCCTCAACTATGCTTTACTGCTGTAGCCTGCTAATGCTTTTCCTCCAGAGGACAGTTTGCCACCAATGAAGACAGTCCAGACTCAAATAATGAGGTTCTCAAATAAAACAGGGTAGGAAAGTATCTGATTTACACACTGAAGTTATTAAAACCTCAGACTTGCTGCCATTGGTAAGAAAACATAAGCTCTTGGGATAATCTTGGAGAAAAAGTGATTCTCAAAAATCTGTCCCAGCTCTACCACCTTGCTTGTGGTCAGGCAGGATTCACCTGGCAGCAGGGAGGGAGCCTCCTGAAGAAGAAAGCACAGGCGTAGCTGTTCCTAGGACTAAGCATCCTGCTATGGCTGCCTCATACCAACCACAGTGGTTTCATGACAGCAACTCGCAGAAGCCCAGGGTCTTAGTCACAGCCCCCTGCAGGTCCACACCTCCTTCAGCTGCTATACACATGCAGATAGTTCTCAGGAAGGGCACAGTGACCTACACTGGCAAACAGCCATTATAGACAACATCTACATTTATAAATAAACTCTCTGCTCTTTCAGCTTTCTCCGTTTCTCTGTTGAAGTATAGGCTGCTGATTCTTCTGAAAGCCTAGAAGATTTTAAGCAACAGAAAGAGAAAAACATGGACTCCTTCCTTGTTGAGTCAATGCAAGAAACACCCCAAAAAATCAACTGGTTCTTGTTTGGCATTAAACAAAACATAAACATAAATCTCAGCCTTAATGAATTAAGCTGTCAGATTCTAGTCCTACTCCATAGGATGCAGCTTTTTCTCTGTCTCAAAACTTTTTCACTTCCCCTTCTGAGGCAGTGGAAGTGGAGTTGCTTCTACCTTTGTGGCTCAATCACCATATAGAAATACTTGCCTGGCAATACTGGCAACAGGCATGGCCCCTTCGTTTGTGAAAGATGTCCTACAGCCCAGCTCTGTCCTGTGCACAGCTGCAGGAGCAGCACCTGAGGGCAGGGCGAGCTGTGACGAAACCTCATCCTTCCCAAGCATGACTACCTAAGTTACCTGCAGTCTCCTGTTAGCTCCTCCTTTTGGCTGACTGCTTAACTGGCTGTGCCTGCTCTAAACATGGCTCCAGCAACATCCATACTCCGACCTTCTTCATCATCTCCTTGATGTGTCCACCTGCCACACTGATCCTGCAGTGGGGGTCAACACCGGCCACCCACTCTTTAGCACATTGATGCTTTCCACTGAGCATGACTGGTTCATTTCTGGCTGCTTACCTCTTTGCAGGGACTCCTACCCTCACCTTCTCTGCTCACCAGACACCCTTAAAGAAAAGTTAAAGTTCCTGCATTTGCTCTTCAATACTTCTTCCTACATTGTGGAGATAGTGAATATGCTAGCATATGCCACAAACTTCCTGCCAATATACAGACTTTGTATTATATAAATAGGTAAAAGTTTCAGACAAAATATCCTATAATTTCTGTGGTGTCACATTTTTAAATAGCATTAAAAACACAAACCATCCAGCCCTTGTGATTAAATATACAAACATTTGTGAATTGATAAGGCTCATAGGTACATACGCAAAAATAAAGTGCCCCTCCCCCCACCAAGAAACAGTTCTGTACAGCTACGTCTGAAACAGAACAAGTTATTTAAAATAAAACCTCACAAGCTGGAAGTGCAGCCAGACTTTCCATTCTTGTTCTCATTTCTGCTTTCGACTTGGCAACAGAGGAGTATTTACAAGCAAAAGAGGAGCTGCGATGGCTGACTCCGCAGTGCCGCTGACCTGCAACCTGTCCAGCTAAGTGCCTCACAGGGCCTTGGTGCTGGCTGGGTGTGCAGTGTGGGACACGGGCTTCTGAGGGTAGTAGCTGTACAAGTAAACCTGTAACAGGATAGCAATGTCCACAAAAACCTGCAGAAGTCCACAGATGGAGAACTGGAAAGGGGCCTGATTCAAGATGAAGTAAACAGTCTTGAATGTGTCCCCACTGGTCCACATCAGCACCATCTTGACACTAGAAGACACAAAAGAAGAAAAGAGTATTTATTGAGAAGAACCTGGGTTGTGATTAGACCTGCCATGCCAGAGTATGCTACCTGCTTCAGCAAGGGTTTATACTCAGCGGTGGGTTGGGACACCCCTGGACGAGGACAGTGTGCCTAGCCAAGACATGCAGCACTGTACTTGGAAGGGAGGATCAAATTCTCTACCCCACACACTGCAGCACTCTTACCTCAACAGTTACAGCTGTGGCTGTGAAGGTATCCAACATTTCCAAACATCCAGTTGGGATATTTGACTCAGCAGTGCTCTGTAAACATGACTGCCACATCCTGACAGCACTGACCATAAACCAAAGTAATACAGTGCATAGAAAACTAAGGCAATTCATCCCAGCAGTTACTTATCCATGCAACTTTGCACTCCCACAAGGTGGAATAACACATAGACTGCTCTGTCGTGCATGCACTCTTCTAGCGTCTGCTGAAACAAACACTTCTGATGAGGTACAAGAAACCATTTCTGATTGCAGAAAATGCAAAACCAAAAAAAAAAAATCCAGAAAGACAGATTGTCCAGTAATACAGAAAGAGGGAAAACGACATGCCTGCAGCTGTTACTGGAAGGATGAACATCACCAGGGATTTTTATCACGGACACAGATCAAAAGCAATGCTTAGGCTTCCTTTTAATAGCCATCCTTGCTTTCATCTAGCTGCACTGCTGAGCCATCCCCTGTCCTGCAGTCCAGCTCCTGCTCCCCCACATTAGAAGAAACTCTGGGGAACAGAAGCAAGCTCTTCAAACAGACCAATTTTTTTTCAGTGCCCTCAACAAAATGTGAACAACCAGATCCTGAAGACTGTTTCTGAGCTTCATGCACTTTAACAGGAGAGCTTTTTAAGCAGCTGGATAAGCAGTAGCAGACAAAAGCTTTGTAGTTCACAGTCTAAGCATTGCGCATGATTTGTCATAATTATGAGCAATTATGTTTTGCCAGCACTGACTCCAATTCATCAAACGCAGTCAGGGCCTTGCAGCAGGGTAGGACTTAATGTTCACTTCTCAAATATTCAGGCAGGGAGCTAGTGTATTTTGGACAGAAGTACATGATGCTACTGCAAGCCAAATGCTGCAGCCCACTCTCTCCCCATCAAGCAAGGGTGGCCAAAAGCATCAGTTTATACTGCCCCATCACACTAGGGAAACACAAGCCTTTTTGTAACTCATGTCATGTCACTGACTGTAAACAGGCCTTCAATCATATAATAGTAAGGGCTGGAAGGGGCCTCAAGATCATCCAGTTCCAACCACCCTATAGACCTTTCAAAAAGAATCCACTCCCACTGTGTGGAAGTGCAAGCAAGGACATGAGGTTGAGTAAGCAGTCATTCCCCATCCAAGGCCATTCTCAAAATGTAAATAAATAATCAGAGAAGGAAAACAACTGCTAAACCTGCAACTGCCAGTTGTGTTCCATGCAAACAGCCTGCACCACCTGCCCTGTGCATGTTCCCAGTCTCACTGAGTACCTTACATCACACTTACGTGAGGTTTGCTGATGCAAGCAGTGGTGGGGATTGTTTGGGATTTTAATTAGGGAGGGCGATAAACTCTGAGGGTGATAAAACTGGCACCTTGCTTGCAGGCAGCCAGTGTTCCTCCTCCTCTGAGTTTAAGCTTATCTGTGTTTGCTAGGCAACTGATCACAATTTGTGAATCTGTGCTGGCATGGTTGGGGACCCTCACTAAAAGCACATGCTAAACCTGGCAGGTCAAACTAACTGCTCGCTGTTGACAGAAAAGCTGCTCAAGGATGCCAGGAAATATCTGTATAAGAATTTAATGTGCAAAGGATATTTGTCACATATTCCCCACGGAGAAAGCTAAGTGGGTTTCAAAAGTGACCCCAGGGTGCAGTGTACATGTGGAGAAGATACAAGCTGTCAGAAGATGCACAGCCTACAAAAGAGTTTACTCCCCCAAAGAAAGAATAATCACTGGGGATTGCAGTTCTGCAGCACCACAGGAGCCAAGCACTTAGAAGCACAGCTCTATCTGTGAGATATGCTGTACGGAGTTTGCCAAAGCAATCCTGGACTTTGCTAGGAAGCCGCTTGTGAACTCAACAGCCTGCAACACCAACTGGTAACTTGGTGCGTGCTTCAATAGCCTTCGCATGTTCCAGTGCCCTTGCTCTTCAGCTCACACACACATCAGACATTCAAGGAAATCAGCATCATGCCGGGGGTTCTCACTAGGACATGACAATGCTCTATACATGGGAAAACCTTAACTTGTCCTTGGCAAAAATTACTTTAAAAAAATATAACTGATAATGTAAAAGAGCTAACACCACCGGTCTGTCACTGAATCAAAGAAACATACATCCTTCTCTGCCCAGTAGCTTGAACAAAGCAGGATAGAAAACCTGCAGATCACCAAGGCATTACAAAAATGCAAAATAAAAACATACAAAACACTTGATGTTCCACAAAACTTTAGTACTGCAGCTGCACCAAGGTTCTCAGAGCCCAAGGTTAATGCAAAGCACTGACTGTGGAGTGCCAGCTGTTCTCCAGAAGAGAGGCTGTTACTGAACAAAAGGATCATGTCCAGCACAGACCTAAAGGTGCATGGGGTAACTGAAAACAGCTTGGCAAAGAAATGGGGACAGTGTCACATCAGAAGTGGGAAAAGGCAATGGAGAGTCCCAGAAAAAAGCCAATGAGACATCAAAGAGCAGAGAGGTCAGTCAGATGAGAAAGGGGTAAGAGAGAGAGGCTAAAGCAGAACAGGGAATGACAGGAACAGAAGAGAACTGGGAACCTGGAACACAGGTCCTTGGAAATTACCTCAATTTGGGGTGGACTGATGGAGTACAGCCTGGGCTAAGAGTGTTCTGGGTCGTACTGGGTTTGCGTGTTAAGGTTTTTGGGGGTGGGAGACTACAAGTGGATTCTGTGAGAAGCTGCTAAAAGCTCTCCCTGTGTCCAATGGAGCCAATGTCAGCTGGCTCTGAGATGGACCCATGCTGGCCAAGGCTGAGCCCATTAGCGATGGTGGTAGCACCTCTGGGGTAACATATTTAAGAAGGGGGTAAAAACTGCTGTGCAATGCAAGCAGCCAAGAGAGACGAGTAAGAATATGTAGCGAAGCTCATATTTAACAAGCTAGCAACACACCACAGGGGGAAATCCTCTAGTCTCAGCTTTCTTCCCCTGCAGGACTCTGCATGCTGCGTGACGAAGATCTGTGGGATCACAGCAACAGCATGAATCTCCCAGGGAGCCACCTGACTCAGCAGCAGCTCCAGTGCAGGCTGTCAATGACAGTGAACAAGCCCTCTGCATGGCTCTGCTCCTTTGCAGTGCCACGTACCAGGTGCCATGAGCTGGCAAATTGCAGTCTACTGCCATGTATCTGGCCCTTGGCTTCATGGTGCAAGAGAAAATGCTGCGCTGTTAAAGCAGATGAGGCTTTGATGCAGAAGACAGTCAGGGCCCACCATCAACACTGTCTGAGAGTGGACAGCACAGCACAAACAGCAGGCTTATGATGTATCTTCCTGACACCTGCAAAGCCCTGAGAGCGAAGCTGTTCTGTGCAGCACTGGCTGCACAGCAAAGCAGGAGTTAGGAGTAAATAAACGGGTATCTTTCCTGAAATAGCCCAAAGCTAAGCTGGGGAGACATGAAGATCATCACCTTGTTGACATGAAGGATACAGTCTAGCAGGACAGCTCAACTGTTCTTAGCACAACTGAGTGAGCGGGTTAGGGGTGAGCAGTGCCACAAAGCAGTTTGGGGACACGGAAATAAACAAGTGGCAGCACTTGGTTGTGTAACTACAGAGATGCCAACTGGAGGGGCAGGAGGCAGGAACTGTGCTGAAATAGCTGGTATTGCCAGAGGCTGAAGCAGACTCTCAGTAAAAATAGCACTTCCCAGTAATTTAAATCAGTACTGCAGTATCCAATGACAACAAACCTCCTAAAAACAAGTGCCTTCCTTACAGTCAAGCTTGTTACAAGGAGCTGCTAATGTAGTAACAGCCAGTATCAGGTCTGTGTCAATTGCAATTGACCACAAAGAGGAAAAGCTGGTATTTTTCAATTGCTCGTGAAATCTGAAAGAACACTTATTTATTCTGCTGTTGGAATTAATTCTCAGAAAGACACCATCACTTCTGATCAGACGCTAGATTAGGGGTAGATTGCCGAATGCTGTTCTTTATACAGTAATATAAAAACGCCCTACAGCATTGCTGTTCTCTACCACAGCAGATTCCATATGGACACTGTACCAAGCTTCATTTGCTAAATAAATAAATGACATGCTAGAAAACAGCATTCACTTTTCTCATGGAACAAGTTGTTTCATTCAGGTTCCTTATATATTGTGTATTAATTATGAAGTGACAGCAACTACAGGTAAAAACCACTTATTAGTACACCATACCTGCAGTGAGCCAATGAAGCATAGTTTTTACAGAATATTCCTGAAATTTTTCAGATGCAGAGAGAGCTTGTATGGTGCATTCAAAAGAACTTTGTTGTTTCTCTTTGAGGAACTGTAACAGAGACTGAGTAATTCACAGAACAATGAGATTAGCCAGGTATTTAGGCTCAATCCCTTTTATCCAGGACTAATGCTACTCGAATCAAAGCTTTTCAGCATCTTCATTCTTTCTGCTCAAAACCTGGCTGCTAGAGTCTTAAGTCTCTGGTTTTCCTTTGGAGTCTTCACACACTCTGCTCAGCATTAGTCACTTTTTGGTTATTACACCTTTCAAGAAATCTGAAAAGGGATTTTTTACAAGGGCATGTATGAGGGTGGTGAGGCACTGGAACATGTAGCTCAGAGAAGCTGTGGCTGCCCCAACCCTGGCAGTGTTCAAGGCCAGGTTGGATGGGCCTTGGAGCAACCTGGTCTAGTGGAAGGTGTCCCTGCCCGTGGCAGGGGGTTAGAAGTGGATGAGCTCTAAAAGTCCCTTGCAACCCAACCCAGTCTG